GCCGAGGTAAAAATGCCTCTGGAAGTACCTCCTTAGCGTCCGTCTGCTGCCTTCTGAAAGGAGGCAAAGCCAATCCAGCGCGGCATTGCAGAGCCTTCCCTTGCTTAGTCAGTACAAGTGACCACGTCTTGCATTTTTACGCCGTTTGTGACAAAATTTGCGCTGTTCACACCTGCCCTGCACAGTTATGATGCTCTCGCCTGACGCACGCCTTCCCCGCGCCTCCACTCAGCAGAAGGCAACACCCGCTCGGCCAGCGAGGTCATGGCACTGTCCTCGAAGCTGGGCACTGGTGTCATCTGGCACCGAGTGTGACATGGAGACGCTCCAGCCACCGTTCTGCACTTGCTGATGTAGAAACCAGGCTCGGTTTCCAGCTAGGCGCTTTGCCAAGGAGTCAAGTGAGTCACGGACACAAAGTGCTTCCCAACAGCCTCGCAGCCGGACACCTCAGCGTAGCTGTGATGGTAACGCAGCTTGCATAGGGCTGCTTGCAGCCCCCAAAAGGCTGAGCGGCCTGGAAGGTGTTAGACCATGTTTCCTTCACGTAGACCGCAGCCCCTGAGCCTCATGTTCCTTTTGGGGATGGGGATGGCATCAGAGAGGATCAGCTGCCCAAGCAGGTGTAGCTGTCAGTACCTGGAAGTGAACTGCACCGGGCAGCAGCTGCAGGAGTTCCCTGCAGCCATCCCACTGGACACCAGGCAGCTGATTCTGGCAGCAAACAATGTCTCGTACCTGCCAGCAGTGGAATTGAGCTTCCTGGTGGATTTGGTCTATCTGGACTGCAGGAAGAACCTTTTGGGGGATGACCTGGATTTCACTTTCATTGGTGTGGCCAAGCTTGTCTATCTGGACCTCAGCTTCAACAACCTCACACAGATCACCTTCAGCACCTTCTCACACCTCCTCAGCCTGGTGGTGCTGAAGATCTCAGACAATGCCAACCTTGTGGCCATCGAGAAGGATGCTTTCGCCAACAATACCTGGCTGAGGCACCTGGATGTGAGCCGGACAGGCTTAACATTCCTGGACACCAGCACTGTCCAGGACCTGCCCAACCTGAGGTTTCTGGGGCTCAGTGACAACCCGTGGCACTGCAACTGTTCCTTTTTGGACTTCATCACGTGGATGGCAGAGAGCAACGTTCATTTTCCAGGTGAGGGCTGCGTGAGCAGGACTTTTCTCCTCCCTACTCCTGCAGATCTGCGTGGAATGGAGAGGGTCCTCTGTTCTCTTTCCCAAAACTTCAGCTCACAGGGCTGTGACACTGCATGTCAACCGTGGGTCCTATCTTCTGGTGTTGCACAAAACACGGATCGAAGCAGCTGGGCACTCCACCCACAGATTGTCACACTTACTCACATCATCAGGACAGTCAGGGAGGTGTAGCCTGTAGCTAGGACATTGCTGCTGCTCTAAAATCCCTGGCTCCTGTCTCAGGAGGTGTCCCTGTACCTGCCAGTCACAGCACCCTGTGGCTACAGTGCCAAGAACAAGGAGCCCAACACAGTTCTGCAGAGATCTGCGCTGGGAAAGCTGCTGCTCTGAATTTCCTTCCTTGTCTCCATCTGCTCTGATTGTGTGGTGCTGGTGCAGTACCTGTATGTCCATAATGCTCAGTTAACCCCCCTCCCTCTGTGGAAATGCTCTCCTGCCTCTGTTCTGACCTGCTCGGCCAGCCTCTCCAGGCCGAAGCTCTCCACCGTTCGGCCAATGTCCCTTTCACCTTGAACACCTCCGGCAGCCTCTTCCTGCACAACGTGCCTGGCAGGCAGACCTCGTTCCTGCAACCTCTACAACAATTCTGCTCAATGCTGGAAACAAAGCCAGGTTGAAAGCCAGTCAGCTCCTCTTCTGCTCTCATTTCCGAGGGGGTCTCCGGGAGAGGTTTGGGTAGTGTAGAAGCCGGCAAGAGTTTAGCTGCTGACTTCTGTGGGGCTGTGACCACACCCTGCTTCCCAGCAGCCTGTTTCTGCAGATGAGGAGCGTACACAATGCCCTTTGCCTTCAGAGCACAGCAGCTATTGTGCTAGGACAGAAAAAAATTACAAATCCTGCAGCCTCCAGCTGTCACAGTGCTCCTCAGCCCTCAGAGCAGGTACGTTTGACTGATTCTCTGTATCAGACTGTGACTCAGTGCTCAAAAGTCAGCAAAAGACCTTTTGCTGTTCCCGTGGGAGCTCTCGTTTGGGTCCCAGCTGACATTTGATGGTCAGAGTGAAACAGAAAACAAGTTGCACTCAGAAAAGCATCTGTATCCTTATGGCTGGGAGGCTCCATATGTTCCCACTCTTCCTCCAGCACCTCAGAGAAAATTGGCTTTAAGTTTTCCAAGAAATGTGTGTGCAATGCAGGTGAGCACTGAGTCCCATGGGCTGCAGCAGCAGAGCGCAGCTTGCTTCTGAATAAAAGCCATTTCTTGAAAACAGGGTCTCCGAGACGTTCCTTATATCATCTGGGAGGCCAAAATCAACTGTTTCCCATCATATTGAGAGATTCTACAACTGGGCCCTGGATAATCACCGGTTCCTTTTCCCAGAAAAACACTGGGCCCAAGGGCAAAGTTTTGTTCTGCAGCTGCAGCAGATGAACTCCGTTTTCCAAACTGAGAAGGAACACAGCACGACACATACTCATGGAGAAAGCTTGGTAATTCAAGTAATGCAGGACACAATGGTGAGAGAGAGCTGCAGAGGAGGAATTGTTTGAGAAAGTCTGTCCATCAAACAAGAAAGGGGCACAAAAGACCTCCAGGAGAGAAAAGGGAAGGGCAAACAGAAGCTGGTGTTAGGACAGAACCGAATCAAGGACATCTCTGTGTCTTACTAGATGTACTAAGCTCAATAGACAGTAATTTTTTTATTTTCTTCATACAGGTTACAGGCAGTTATGGAACAGTATAAAAAAGTTCTGTTCCTAACAGTAAGACTGGAGATAACACACTGAACCCTGGCACAGGACAATAAAGCTCCCTGCAGGCAATTTGAGAGGGTAGGAGTAGGAAAGGCAGTGGCAGCAAAGACTGGAGGTATGAGGATGGATCCCCGTGCCGCACTCTGGAAAATGGGAAAGGCAAAGAAACCAAGGAGCTCGCAGAAGCTGCTCCGCTTCCCTGCCGTGTTGGGCTTTGCTGTGTCCTGCCGAGATGCTGACATGAAGTTGCCCAAATCTAGATGGATTTCGCTACCAGAAAGAGAAAAGCTCTCTGGTTCTATTCAGGACAGTGAGAGATACCAGCATGAACAACCACTGCAGCTGTGTCACTCAGCAATATACGACAGAATGTGATGTCATATAATATAAATCCCGTGTACCTTGTTCCTCCCCACCGCTCCCTCTCCCTCAGGCCTGCCCATCCAGCGCCTCAAGCAGTGCCCAGCCTGCGGCTGGCACAGCAACTGTGTCTGGCCCGTGGGGCTCAAAACCTGCAGGGGAAGGAGATCATTTTTCGGTGGAACCGAGTCATTGATGAGCTTCCTCTTCCTCTCTCACAGAGCAGGTGAGGCTATGCCTAACTGCAAACCACTCTGTCACACGTGCCCAAGCCTTATTATTCCAGCATTGTTTAGGCTGTATCACTTCAGAAGGTGTTTGAGATTAAACCAAACACACACAAGTGCTCCTACATTAAAATAAAAGTGCTCAGTCAGCAGAGAAGAACGGTGCAGGGACAGCAGTTTGCCACAGTGGCATAATCCGACCAGCAATATTTTCCTATGGAGGCAACACCACAGAAATTGTTCTGGCAACCTGGGAATTGCGGTTTGGCAAGGATTTGCCTGTGTGATTTTACCTAAGCCACGGAGGGAGAGGGGTGTGAAGCCTGTAGACACTTTTCAGTAGTTGAGCAAACTCCCCCATCACTTTTCTAGCAGGAGTCCTGTTCACTGACACTTAAGACACAGGCAAAAGAGTCTTGCTTCTCTTTTCCCTCTGCAGATGCTGACAACATCACCTGCTACACCCCAGAAGGCCTGCGTGCCCTGAAAATGCCCGCAGCGGAGGCGCAGCTCCACTTCAGCTGCCTGACCCAGCTGTACAAGCAAGACTACATCTTTGTCTGTCTTATTGGCTTCTGCATGTTCTTTGCTGGCACCATGGCGGCCTGGCTGGCTGGTGTCTGTGCTGTCATCTACGAAGTCCACACTCCAAAGGGAGAGGAGGAGGAGGAAGAGGAGGAAGACAGAGTCACTTAGGCCCAGCCCTACAAATCCTTCTGAATTCCCATCGTGGGAACTGAAGGCAAGCCTTTCCTGCCTGAGTTCCCACATGATGTCCCATTCTAGATGCTATTTTTTTGAAGTGAAATAAAACTGCAGGAGAAGAAAGTCTCTGTGCTCTGATTTCAATCACTGTGCTACCTCCACTTGTGTTCTTCCACTGGGACTCAGGACATTGGCAAAACACTTTTTGGGGGGGGGGGGGCGTGAGAGATGTGCACAGTGCCAGGTGTTTATGCTCCCACTTTACCGTGAGACCACAGAAAAACAGTCAATGTGGGGTCTGTCCTGTCACAGGGACCATCTTGAAGAGGTACAAGCCAGGATACGGGAAAGTCCCCAGCGCTCCACTGTAGCCAGGGAGTTCACCAAGGCCTTTTTGACCAGAAAGCCCAGCAGAGCTTATTGGGATCAGCCCAGAGTGTTCGCTGGAGCCCCAGGGAATCCAAGACCTTTCTGCTATGAAATAGCAGGTATGTGAGCAGAGATTAAACCCAGAAGTTTTAGGGGCCCGGGATCCCACTGGGTCTTTCTTTCTTTCCCATTACACCAGCAACAGCAAAAGACCACATCTGTCCCCTTGCAGCTAGAGCCCCACTACCTCCACTGGTTTATGCACATTTACAGAACTGGAAAGTCCAGCTCCAGTTTTGTATCATGTATCCTCAAAACTGGGAGATTTTTTAAATGTAAAAAATATTGCTTACACAGGCTCCAAGTATTCTTGGAAAAGGCTGTGTTTCGATGCCAAAGTCCCAGGGCTGCATACACAGGCCAGAATAAAGGGAGACCTAAATTAAGATCCTTCCTATCGCTAACGCTGGTAATTGCCCGGGAAGGTATCCGCTTACACAACCGAGTACAGCAACTCCGCGCGTGAAACACTGGCTGCTTCATCTGATACTGGCGGGATCTGCTGAAACAAAAAGGAAAAGCAGGAGGCGGTTTCAGCAGGCATGGTATGAACTGCCGTATTGCCTCAGAGCCATGAAGCTGTAGGCTGTGAATCAAAGCTGGAATCTTTGTCCGAGGTGTAATCGGTCTGACAAGGATGGTTCCGAGCGGACACGACAGCACAGCCCGCTAAAGATATGTATGGGATATACATAGAGGATATGTTCGGGACATACATGCGGAGCTACTGGATACGCCAAAGGCAGTGATCGATGCCCCTCAGCAAGCCTCGCGGTGCCCCGGGAGACCCTGCAAACCCCTCTGCAGAGCCACACGCATTCGTGCCGAATCCAGCTCTCCAAACACGACCGCTTCCCCCGGGAGGCTGATCCCGCCCTCCCCGACCGCCGCCCCGCTCCGCTCCGCACCGGCG